ACTGTGTCCTTGCCAGAAGCATGTGTGCAGAAACCCCTATCTGTCCATCTGCCCTGTGCCCTCCAGCATGCCTCCTTTGGGGAAGTTTCATTTGACTTGTGCGCAAGGGAACTCCACTCAGAACAAGAGAGTACTGGGTATCTGTGCAAGTTGCTAGACATGCAAGGTTTCCTGCTGACAGCAGAGTTTTAACCAAGCAGGATGCACTGGGTTGGCAGGTTTCCATGGAAGGAGCTTGGGAGTCTTCCCCTCTCCTTAGCTCTGAATGAAGAGAGAGCTGCTTTCTCTCCCCTTCCATCCTCCTCCCATCTGCTGCAGTCCTGTGTGCTTCCTTTCCATCTGCAGGATCATCTATTGGAGAGATTAATGAGTGTCCTCTGAGTAGCCACTGAACCCTGGCACCTGGCAGGTGCATTCGAGGTCTTTCCTAGGCCACAAGGTCTCCCTGAGACTTCCTGAGGCCCAGCTGAGCTTAGCAGCTTTCCTGGTGCAATGCTTGAGTTCTGATAGAAAAAGTCTCTTAGCAGGAGTTGACAGGTCGGAACCCCTGGTTATTAAATGAATGCACATGTCCAGAGGGGCCCAGCCTCCTGGTTAGTTGGTGCCAAACACAGGCTAGACATGGGAGCAGGCAAGCCATCAGTCCTCCTGGTGCAACATGGCAGGGCTTGGACTCCTGTGGCTTTAGGGGATACCACGTGCTCCTCCTTAATGGCGCCAAAGGACTGGCCCCCTACTGGGCAGCATTTGAAATGTGTGGCATTTCTGCTTTTGTAATAAGTATTATAAAGTGCTGTTTCTTAGCTTTAAAAGAAGAAGGGGGAGAAACCTTTCAAAATCCCAGCTTCCCCATGGGAGCTTCAATTTGTTTTATCTTTAAAGAGCTCTGTCTCACTCTGTGTCCAGCACATTGTCAGTGAGTGGCCAGTTACTTCTGGAATTCTCTGTTACTATAGTCTTGAAGTCTAACTATTAAGCCAGAGGAGGCCAGCAAGGATTGAAGAATCCTGGTCTCTTCAGATACAGATGTAAACCTTTTATTATGGAAATATAAGTTGTATCCCCCAGAGGTCTACAAGTAAAGGGATATTTTGGGTAATAATTTGCTTTAGGAGCTCCATGGTGGACAACCCATTTTCAATACTGATAAAGAAACAGGGCTGAGCACAGAGTTGAGGTGGGGCGTGGGGGAGATGCTGGGGACACGGTGAGGAGTAAGACCCCGCTCCTGCATGAGCAGCAAGGGACTGCACCAACCTGACCAGAAGATGGGGAAGTGACCCAGGGCTTGTTTACCTCATGCCCTTTGGGTGGTGCTCTTGAGCAGGGATTGGCACTTTCTCTATGAAGGGCCAGGTAGTAAATCTTTTCAGCTTCCTGTCCAGATGGACTCTATTGTAACTATGCAGCTGCTGTGGAGTCATGAAAGCAGCCATCAACAACACACACACCAGTGAGCATGGCTATGTTCCAATAAAACTTTATCAGCGAAAGCAGAGAGTGGGCTGACTCTGGCCCATGGTCCAAAGTTTCCTGACTTAGTGGAACCTTGTTTGATAAACTGCCCACAAGTCCTCTGCCTTATGGAATACAACTGTGTTTGACTCACTAGCCCAGGCTCTGTGATGCTAGAAGACAACTTGTAAAGATTAAAAGTGGCTAAGCCAGAGGTTACAGTTGTATTGCTCTGTAGCCAGTTTTATTTCTAACTTGCGTGTCTTATTTGGGCCTTCTTTCTTCCACTGACTCTACGTACAATCACCCTTGTATTCTCCTCCAAACCTGTTTTACAATCCTGCCTGTTCCCTCATTGATGAGCAAGGTAACTCCCCCCACACAACCTGTACTTGCAGGGGTTGTGTTTTTCCAGTCACTGCTTTCACAAGAGCAGCACCATCAGAGGTAGGTAGGATGGATGGCAGGCAGTGTGGCAGGCAGAATGCAGAGCCAGGTGGCACCACCTGGGCTTGCCAATAGCCTGGCCTCCATCCAAATTGACTTAGGAAAAGGGAGGCTGAGCGAGATGGAAGGGCAGAGACATTTGACCTTGGATCAAGCCTCAACCATTCCATGTTGTCCCACTCCATCTGGTCCTCACCCTGAAATTGTAGCTCATGCTCAGCAAAACTCTACAGTTGATTCCCTCCCTAGCCAGCAGTTCAGAAACTATGGGATAATGGCAATAAGGTCTCAGACTGGAAGACCCCTTTCCTCTCCTCCAGGACTCTCATGCTGGCGAAGACTGAGGATCATTTCCTAGCCTCCCACTGTGCTAACTCATCTTTGTAGAGGAGTGGCAGCCCCCTGCTGGAAGAGCAGCCACCGTTTTGGGTAGCATCTCAAGTCTTGACAGTTCTCTTCCATTCCTCTTGTTCCTGTGAGTGGAAAGGCTTAGAATGTCAGGGCTGCTGCTCTGACCAGCACTGACCCTGCGGTAACCCACATGGCCAAGAGAACATGTGATCACTTAGTTCCTAAATAGGCTAGGAAATGTCCCCAGGGTCAGATCCCTGGGTGAATGGATCAAGAGCCAGTGATACTGACAGGCTGAATCAAGCATGGTGATAGCGAGGCAGGAGCAGGAGGGCAGGGAGTGCTTGCCAGAGCCTTGACACCCAGGACCCCAACCTTCTTTGCAGGGAGAGGTTGAAAGGGAGGGACTGGAGGGGTGGAGAAATAGAGTTGCCATGCAAATAGCCAGACACACCTGGGGACTCAGAGGATGGACTGAACTTGCCATGCGCCTGCTTCCCCCCATGCAAGTACAGAGAAGCCAGGAAATAAAGAGCCCAGAGCACCCCTTCACCCACCCAGCCCTGCTATAGAGCCTGGGTGGTCCACCCTGTGGTCTACCTTGGAGACCACAGTGCAGAGACTGGCCCTGGTGGTGCACAGGCCCTGCCCCTCCTCCTGCAGTGGTGCAGCCTGCACCCTCTCTTCTCATCACTCTTCCCATTTCAGTTTCCTTCCTGCTTCCCAGAATCCGAGACTACCCATTTCACCTCTGACCTCTAGCTCTTTCCCCACCGAGTGTTTTTGGACAGAATCCCACATTTCATTTTAATGTTTCTTTTTTAATTGAGGTGAAATTCACATAACATAAAATTACCCATCTTAAAGAGTACAATTTCCTAGTTAGTAGATCTGCAGTGTTGTGCACCCCCCTCCTCTATCTAGTTCAAAACCTTTGCATCGCCCCAGATGAAGGCCCTGCCCCCACCAGTGGTCACGCCCCCCCTTTCTCTCCTGGGCCCTGGCAGCCACCACTCTGCCTTCCATCTCTGTAAGGTGGTGGGTTCTGGGTAGTTCATAAAGTAGAATCTTACAGGGTGTCAAATTGGGGGTCTGGCCTCTTTGCCTCAGCAGAATGTTTTTGAGGGCAGTCTGCATGATGGCCTGCATCAGTGTGCTGTCCCCCTGCGTGGCCCCAGTGTTCCCTTGTGTGGACAGGATGGACCAGCACTGTTCACCCATGGTTTCCACCTTTGGCTGTGGTGAACGCTGTGCAGTGAACATGTATGTGCAGGAGTTTGCCACTTCTGCAAGTGTGCTAGACGTGGAAATGCTGGGTCCCATGGTCCTCTGTGTTCAGTGCTTTGAGGAGCCGCCAACTACTTTCATGTTTGTAATCGAGAGCGTTTAGAGCTCTGTGATTTGCTTTTCATCTTCTTCAGGAAACACACTGCCAGTGCTCTGTTTCCCATCCCCTCCTCGTCCTTTGTGTCCATTTCTGCACTAGACCAAGGTCGTTTTAAATCCTCAGGCCATTCTTCGCAAGCTGGCCACCTGCCAGCTTGCTTTCCTCTGCAAACTTAATGAGCACCACTCCTCTCCTGTCGTTTAAGTCACTTATGAAGTGTTAAATGCCAGGGTGCTGGCTGATCCCAGCTGGGCAGTTTGTTTGGCCTCATGCCCCCTCTATGCTCACAGCCTGCCCTCTGTATGAGTCCCCTGGGTCCCCAGGACCACACAGTCGTACAAGGCCTGGCCTGCAGCAGGGATGAAGAAATCTGCACAAAGGAATCACAGTGTCTCCCCTGTGCTCTCTGGCTCTCAGGCCCCTGAAGCATCGGCAAGGTGCAAGGAAGTATGTGTTAGATCTGGTGGGCAGAAGGAAAGGCCACATCCTACAGAAAGGAGACAAGAGTAAGAGCGTGGCAGGGTCAGGCTAGGGCAGGTCACAGGAAATGACAGTGCCACCTGAGTGAGCCAATGGGATGTGGGGCTCATTTAGGGATGAAAACCAGCAAGACAGACCACAGAGTGGGAACCAGGGCTCCACAGAGGTGCATGATGGGGCAACTTGGAGGCGCCCCGTGGGCCTCATTGGCAGTCCTGGGAAAGGACATCTGTGTACAGGGGTTGGCTCTTCCTATCAGCTCTGTTCTGAGGCCATTGTTTTGAATCTTGAAGGGGAGGCACTCCAGGTCTGCTCTCAGGGCAGAAGCTCCATCCTGCTCTGTGGAGGATGTTCCTTACTCCAGGGCCAGCACTGGAGTCTTTGTGGTATATGTCTGGGGTGGAAAGGGTCAAGTGGATGAGGAGAGAGACTAAACCCCCTGGGTCAGCCTGCAGAGGAAACAGCTCTGGACCTTGAGACCACCTGTGCCCGTGGCTCTGTCACTGCCCACTGTAGCATCCTGCCTGGGACTTTCTCTCAGGGCCTTTGAGGCCTCACCTGTCAAATGGGAGGAAGGATAAGATGTGTCTTCTCCATCACCAGTGGTCTCTAAGCCTCAGAGGTTCCACCTCAGGCCACACCTTCCTGAGGCCAATCTTGACTGTGAGCTTTGTACTAAGACCCACCCAGACTGGAGTGGGAATGCCAAGAACTTATACCTCCAGGGCACAAGATGGTGTGTGCAGGACCAGCTTATCCCAGGGACAGAGGACATGGTGCTCTGCCTAGTCCCCGACACACACACAGCAGGTGCACACAGCATCCGGGCAGCCTCAGTCCCTGTGGCTTGTCCAGCTGATCTCAGGATCCCTTTCCACAGGTTGGAGCCATCGGTGATGAGGAGGAGTGGGTGAGCCTCTATGAGGAGGAGAATGAGCCCGATGCCCAGACACTGGAAATCCCAAACCTCACGCCCTACACCCACTACAGGTGAGGACAGCAGGTCACAGCTGATAACCTCCGGCTGGAGGACACGTCATCATCTCAAGCCAGTGGCTTCTGTCACCAACAAAAACCCAGTGATATATGTAAATCAAAAGTTTCCAAGTAGCAATAAACTGTAAATCAAAACCCTGAGAAGCAGGAAAGACACAAGGGGAATAACTCTGGTGTTAGAGTGGCCGTGTCTGTCCACCAGTGCTGGCCAGACAATGCTCTACAAAAGGATTCACTGATTCAGTGTGACAGCCGGGGGCCATGGGCCACAAAGATGTGACAACTTTCTTCACAGAGCTCTAAGGCCCCTTGGGACTGTTCACATGCTATGTGCAAACCAAACAGATGTCCTAGGAGCATCCCTCTGCCTCCCTCTTCCGGGACCCAAGAGCTGCTAGTCTCACTAATCAAGCACTTAACATGCCATTTCACCTTTTGCTTCTTGATCCCCAAACTTATCCGCAGTAAATCCTTGGCCATACAGAGGGCAGAGCGATCATGAGCTGTTAGTGATGTTATAACTTCCCGTAAGATCGTTGAAAGAGATGAAATTTCCAGTTATCACCAGATGTTGAGTTTGATAATGTCATTGTTCTGCCAGGATGGATACATTTCTTGAGATCAGGGAATGAAAGAATAAGAATTACTAATTCAGGGAGTAAAAGGTGAAATTACATCTTCATGAAGAACATTTTTTTTAGTACAATACCAAAGTTAGCATTTAAAAAAATCCTAATGAGAGATACATCTTAACATCTATTCATTTTAACATCCCTCCTAAGCTTAGAGCAGATGAATCAAGGCACAGTACACTCGTTTTTTAGAGACAAACGTTTAGCTTACAAGACTTGGTATGTGAAATTAGCTGAATCTTTGTAATTATTCCAAAGGTCAGAAACTATGATTATAATCTGTGTCCACATTTTCAATTCGCATAAATTTAGGGAACCACAGTAATAAACATGTGCATGAGAGTTTAGGGGATTCATTGTATGTAAATTCAGTTCAAATAATTATACATGCAGATAAAGAACAGACAGGTCTGAAAGCATTAAGGTGAACCTCGAAGGACTTCCGACTCCACCTGGCTTTGCAGATAAGGAAGTTTTGGCCTGGTTTACCAAAAGGCTCACAGCACGTGGTTAAAGTGCCAGGGTGTAGATTCCGGGCCACCACCCTCCTCCTGAACCAATAGAAAGTGGGGTACAGAGTACCCTTAGACATTAAAACAACACTGGACTTTCAAAACTGCCATCTGGTAGCAACAGTGTGACACTCTGTTCTGTCCAGTAGTCCCTTGAATCTTAACTATCAAGTTTACCCTAAACTTGAATCAGCCAATGCAGCTGATTGGATTCTGGCCCTCTACCCATCCCGCTGTATCACTCAAAATTTAACCTCCTTGACTCACAAGAGAGCAGTCTTTGAAGGCTTTTCAGAAAGCGGTCCCTATATGTAATTTGCATTTTTAATGAAACCAGGTGGGAAGAGTGTGTCCCCAAGCAATGGCCTTTCTGAACAGGTGGACATACCCTGAGCCTCCCTGAGAGCAGCCAAGAGGGTTTTGTTTTATTACCTTTTACTGTGGAATAACTCTGATCCCTGATTTTCCCTCCAGATTTCGAATGAGACAAGTGAATATCGTTGGTTCAAGTCCCTTCAGCCAGTCATCCCGGGTCATCCAGACCCTGCAGGCCCCACCCGATGTGGCTCCAACCAGCATCACTGTCCGAACCGCTAGTGAGACCAGCCTGCGGCTGCGCTGGGTGGTAAGTGGGAGCTGGGAAGGGGAGGATGCAGGACGGTGCCCCAGGAGGCTGAGGCAGGCCTGGGATCCGGAGCTTTGCACAGTCCTTAGTCAGGCCTTCTTCCTTGTCAAGACTGATCCATCCTTAAGCCCAACGGCATTATACTTTCCAATTAGTGTAGGATCACAGACCCGCCTCGGCTGTCTCATTAATCACTAGCGTTGTTCACTCTTTTCTTGAAACAAGGCTGCTCTTCAGGGCAGGAATGTGGATGGCACTCCATGCTGGACCTATAAGTCTTTAAGCTTCTGTCAACATGGAACCAATACTCAGTATTTGTTAGAGGGCCAGCCTGATGTTTAATCAGAACATTTCCCCACAAAATTAAGCCAAAATGTATTAAAAGAAATTATGTCCAACCAAAGTTACTGACAGGGTTTCATTTAATTAAAAAAGAAAAGTTTTAGGGAAAAATAGGTGGTTCTAAGAATCTTCCCCCCATGCTTTCCATGGAACCAGCCTCATAACACAGGCCTATCTTTTGACATCTTGTAAAACAATGGTTTTAAAGTGTCAGCTTGTCACAGACTGCCCTTCATTGCCAGCCTCTGCCTGATTCCCAGTACAATGGGAACCCCGAGTCCGTGGGCTACAGGGTGAAGTACTGGCGCTCCGACCTCCCATCTTCGGCACTGGCCCAAGTCATCAACGACCGGCTAGAGAGGGAGCTCACCATTGAGGAGCTGGAGGAGTGGACGGAGTACGAGCTGCAGATGCAGGCTTTCAACGCCATCGGGGCCGGGCCCTGGAGCGAGCTGGTGCGGGGACGGACTCGGGAATCAGGTGAGAAGAGGACAAGGCGGGCCCTAGAGATGTGGCCCACTCACTAGAGGTGGGACCTGGTGAGTCTCTAAGTCCCAAGTAAATGGCACCTCTCTGGTTTGTCCTTCTTGTGTCTGTGTTGGCATGCTCCAAAAGGAATTTAAGTGAAACTTTAGGCCTAGTGCCACTCCTTTGAGGTTGATGTTGAACCTAGCAGGGGCTGGACTCATACTTTCATTTTTTTAAGTTAGGGATCATTTTCCCTATACTGATGAAAAGTGAGAGCATGTGAAGATCTGATAGGGAATCTTTAACTACAAGGTGTTCAGGACCCCCTGTTTGGGAAGAATGTAGGTAGTGTGTTCTGAGGTGTAGCTGCAGTAACAAGTAGACCCTGAAGGCCAGTTGCTTTAGTGCTATAGCTGATGTGACTGCAGGCTAAGTGGCTGTCCCTATTTGGTGCATAGCTTTCTTCATGAGGTAATTCAAGGGCCCAGGCTCTGCTGTCCCATGGGGCTAATCACCCTCTGCTCCCAGTTACCAGAGGGAGGAGAACGAGCAAAGAGCAGGCATGCCTCCTCTGAAAACCTGTGTAGAAACAGCCCTTTGCTCTGTTCATCTCCATCAGTCTTGATCATGGGTACTACTAACTGCCAGGAGGAAAAGAACAAGAGTTTTTGGTCAACACTGAGAGTCCCTGCTGCTTTGTGCTGATAATGAGCTGTCCCCCGATCCTCTAGGCTTTGTGGATGGTCATGTCTCAAAATCTGGATGACCCTCCTAGCCTCATCATAGTTTTAGAAGCACAAAGGGAAGAGTGCAGCACAGTTTTCAGAGACACCTGACATGGACTGGCCTCCACCCAGGCCACATGGGTGAGGTGTGGCCCTGGACAGGGAGGAGCGAGCTGCCCTGTATGTTCTGGCAAGGACTCAGCACATCCAGCAGCTGCTAATTCTAGGCTCACCGAGGCTATTAAAAATAGTTCTGGGCTGGGGATGTGGCTCAAGCGGTAATGCGCTTGCCTGGCATGCGCAGGCGCTGGGTTTGATCCTCAGCACCACATAAAAATAAAATAAAGATGCTGTGTCCACTGAAAAGTGAAAAATAAATATTAAAAAACTCTCTCTCTCTCTCTCTCTCTCTCTCTCTCTCTCTCTCTTAAAAAAAAATAGTTCTTAAAATAAACCCTGCCTGTGTCCACACCAGATGAGGGGAAAATGTGACAGGTGGAGGCAGGGACCTGGCTCAGGGGTCGGAGGTGAAGACCGAGGCCCTCCACTCCTTCCCCAGGAAGTCCCCCTGCATTTTGCTTATTATTCCTTCTCTTTGCCTCCTCTCCACTGACTACATTAAGTGAAAGCACTTCTACTCTCCCACCTCAACTCTATCAGGGCCTTGCTGTTCCCTGAGCCCAGTGTGAGTCTCCTTTCCTTAAGGCTCCCAGGGACACATCAGGGAGTCACCCTAGAACCTGAGAAGGGTCAAGAGGGAGTCGACAGGCAGGGTACCTGCAGCAGCTGTTTCTACCTGGAGTGCTTGAAAACACCCAGGGGCTCCTCTCCCCACCAGAACCCTCTGCTCCTATCCCCACACTAAGACACCATGGGAGGAGGGCCTCCCCGGGCAGTTTCAAGTAGCAAAATTAATTAATGAAGTTTTTAATATTGAAAAACACCTTAGGAGGAAATTAGAATTCAGCATGAATGTGATGGAAAATATATAGAAGAACAAGTTAGGAAGGCCAAGTACAAGTTGCGTGTGGCTCTAGAGGCAGCCATCCTTGAGGCCAGGGAGGGCAGGAAGGAGAAGGGGACGGGTGCTGTGGCCCTAGCAGTGGCCTGCCTGAGCTCCAAGAGGGACTGGAGGCCAGGGAAGACCGTGCAAGGCTTGCAGTGAGGCCTGAGAGAAGCTGGTAAGGAGGGGTCAGCTTTGACAGGAAGACGAGGTCTGCTGAGCCTGCTGGCCATGGGCCCCTTGGCTTCCTCTACTGCCTGATTACCCAGTGCCAGCTAGGGCCCTGTGTGTGCAGTCACAGCTTTAGGTGTGTCACAGAACTGGCCCTTGGCCCTCCAGGTGGCCAGGGGTGGCAGCACAGACTGCTTGGGGTATACAGTGTATCTGCAGGCACCACTTCCTGCATGAGTCGGGCTGTGGAAGCTCTGAGAGGCACTGAGAAGCATCTTCTCATCTCCTTTGCTCATTCCTCAAACCACAGACACCGTGTAGGTCTAAATTGACATTGCTGTTACCTGGATTGCACTGGGTTCCCAGGGCCCTCCCTGACTTTGGTCCACTCTCAGTCACAAACTCCAAGCTAAAGATTTCATGAGGTTCGTGACTTTATTTCCTCCTCATTTTCTGGGGGCCCAGTCAGGGGACAGTTGGGGCAGGTGGAAGAATTTAAACAGGAGCAGGGAGACAGAGAATTGTTGTCAGGCAGGAATCTTCTCCTCGTGCAATGTGAACCCAGAACCTGCTAATGGAGCCACTGAGGGCTTGCTGTCATGCTGACTGGCATGTCCCCAGGGGACTGGGAGAGAGGATCTTGCTGAAGCAAGTCTGGGCTTTGTTCAGACTAGGTTTTATTGTATTAGAAGAGATTGAGACACACGGATGCTTGGCTTGTGACTGAGCAAGTGGATTTTTAGAAAGCTATATTATCTTCAACTTCTGAGTCTTTGTAACAAAGTAGAGAATTTGAGAAAATTTAAGGGCTAGTTCTAAATCCAGTAACAGGAAGAACAATAGTGTGTGTGTGTGTGTGTGTGTGTGTGTGTGGTGCTGGAGATTGAACTCAGGGCCTCATATCTGCTAGGCAACCGCTCTGCCACTGAGCCACACACTCTGAGCCAAAATAAAATATTTTTTAAAAAAATCTTTTGCTATACCCAACTATAAAATTGTGGATAAAATAGAAATTTTTACAATTTTAAAATTAATGGTATGCTCAGAAGACAAACAGTGAAATCTCCAGGTGTCAGCAGCATAAAGGGAACTGAAAACCAAGCAGCAAGTGCTACGCAGTGGGCTGGATCCATCCTGGCATTGTGAGGACTCAGGGTTTGATGCACATGAAGGAGCAGGAAGGTGAGCCTGCAGAAATGGGAGTTGGGACCTAAGCTCCTATGTGAGGATGAGGCTCTTCCATATTAAGGTTAAAAGTATCTGCCCACAGAGTTTCACTTGTGTCCACCTAGACCGTGGATGGGGAAAATGACTAGGCCTGTGCCTCACTCAGGTTCAGGCTCTTATGAGGGACCCAGAAACTCCCAGAAGAGAAATTAATGTAGACTTTGGTCCCAGAAACCAAAAGTACAAGCAATGAAAGAAAAAAAAAATAGGTAAATTGGGTCTCATCAGAGTGAGAACTTTTGTGCTTCAAAGAATTTTATACACAAAATGCAAAAAAAAAAAAAAAAAAAGGAAGAAAACATTTTCAAATCATATATCTGACAAGAAGTTTGTTTCTAGAATATATAAAGATCTCTTACTTCACAGTAAAAAGATAAATGATCCAATTAACTGGGCAAATGTCTGAGTAGACATTTCTCCACAGGAGATAGACAAATGGCCAATAAGCACATGAAAAGATGCTCAACACCATTAGTCAGTAAGGAAATGCAAATCAAACCATAATGAGGTATCACTTCATATACTAAAATAGCTAAAATTATTTCAAAAGATGGACAATAGCAGGTATTGGTGAGATGTGAAGAAACTGGAACCCTTACAGTTTGGTGATTCAATGCAAAATGATGCAAGTGACTTCAGAAAACAACTGATGCTCCTCAAAAGAGTCAACATAATATTACCATATTACACAGCTATTCCACTCCTAGGTATATACCCAAGAAGACTGAAAAGGTTTGTCTACATAAAAATTTGACCATGAATGTTCATAGCAGCATTCATTATAATAACCAAAAAAGCAGGAAGAACCAAATGTTCATCAGTTGACAAATAGATAAGTAAAATATGATTTATCCATACAAAGGATAATTTAGCAATAAAAAGGAGTGAAATTCTGGTACATAATATGATACAATCTGGTAGATGAACCTTGAAAATATCATACTAAGTGAAAGAAGCCAGACACAAAATATCATATACTGTATGACTTCATTTATATGACATGTCTAATATGGACAAGTCTACAGAACCAGAGAGTAGATTTCTGGTTGCCTAAGCCTGAGGAAGGGCCTGTGGAATGGGGCAATTTGTAATGGGTATAGGGTTCCTTTGGGGGGTAATGAAAACTAAAGTTCCTTATGGTAATGGTTGCACAATTCTGAATACACTAAAAACACTGAATTGTACACTCGAAATAGGTGAATTCTAGAATATATGGATTACATCACAATACAAATGTTTTTTTGAAGAAAAGCTCAGCCTTTTGTAAATTAATTTTGTATAGATAAAATGTTATAAAAATAAGTGTAGTGCATAGATTTTTGCATTTTGCCTATGTTCAGAAGCACTGAAGATTGTCCTCATTTACATTAATATCGTTTCATTCTCAGAGAAACATCACCATCCTGAAATAGCTCTATATTGTACCATACTGGAGATTGTCCTCTTCTCCAAAACAGAATGAAACAAAGAGAAAAATACCTCCAAAAGAAAGAAAGAAACTGGCTGCAAGCCAGACCTTCTGCACACCCAACAAAAGCAAATACAACTTCTCTCTGAACAAATATTGTCACAGCCAAATTGTCCCAAATAAAACCTAGCCCTTTTTACAATGAGAAAATTAACAGATGCACAAGGAAATACTCTGCCACAGGTAAACATGAAACAGCTTTTAAAAAAGAAAGTACAGAGGACCTGATTGCTTTCAAATGCATACTAGTTTGAAAGAATGTGTAATAAGTACATTTGAAATTATTAAAGTTTCAAATTATTAAGGAAAATCATTTAAACTTTAGATTTGAGCCAGAAACTGAAAACACACAAAGACACAAAGACATAAAAATTGAAAATATAACAGAGATAGAAAAACAAAGACCAGAGTGAGAGGT